GTACCCTGTTATCACATTGCACACATTGCCAAAGTGCTGATTTTGGCATGGTTTTGCTCATACGTAAATGAGTTTTGCCCAGTGTGACTGTCCTCTTAATTCATTTACAGAAAACCAAAATGATCAAGATGGGTTGAAAGGAGCAGAGCCAGTTATCTGCAGGTAATTTTGAATATTTGTGCACTGTTGATGAAATGTGACTTCTGCAGTCCCCTAATCCAGGAAACAGCAGGAATGCAAGCGTATGATCCACTTTGCCAACCAGGAGTATCTTTTTTGTGATGTTTTCTGCTTACATTTTGATACATATATTGTTTCCTATTTCTCATTAACTTCTCAAGTGTACACCCAATTCAGTTGACCAGGTGATCTATGATACAGTGATTTCTGTGCACTCATTTGTTCTCTCTGGTGTCATTTACAGAGTGAGATGCAAATCTGCTTTCGGCCTGTTTTGTCTTAGCATGTTGACATGTGTTTCATAGCAAGAAGTGGACACAAACAGTGATATAATAATATCATGCCACCATAAAGAGAGAAAGAGGCCTTAGCGGCATGAGATCTCTGGGACACTAGGGTGCCCCCAGTAGTATACACTTAATCTCCATGTAGCAGTCAGTGCACCTTAAATGAAAGGGTGAAAACCACTCTTACATGAGTCTATGTTATGGGTCATGACTGCAGTATAGAGATAATCAGTCTCTTTCTTCATCAGCTGTTATTTGGCCAGAGCACTGAGCACCCCCTCTCCTTTCTGTCTCCTGCTCCTCAAAAACACACACTCTGTCTCACCAAAAATGTCAGTTTTTTCTGCTTAAAGGATCACCCTTTGGCTTCCTTCACCGCTCCCTTAAACAGTTCATCTAAAGCAGATAGGACTCTAGATTTCTGATTGGTATTAGGTTAATCTTCGGTCTCCCTACCCGCCAGGCTCAGCACAGAGCTGCCGCAGATGGTAGAGGATGACATCCCACGGCACTCAGTGGAGGAGTACTATTTGACTTACTTAGCTCTTCCTGACCTGTCAGACTCCTTCTGGCCTTATAGGAGCGCCGCCATCTACTCATTTGAGGGATTGGAACTCTCTTATGCTCGGGATGTAACCAGTGAGTACTCTCTTATCGATGTGATAAACCTCCAACTGCACTGCCAGGTAGAGCTGGTGTCTTTTGCGCTTCACACCTCTGGCGGTGCCGAGCTATGGCGTCCCTGTGGGCAGACCCTATACATTTATATTGAGAAGGTTTAGGTTCTAGAATTCAGTTTTAAGCACAGACATCATGCGGGCCAGGGAACTGTGCTCTCTATCCCAGGTCAAGCCTATGTGTTGGGTCCCAAGATAGGTCACTGAACCGAAGGCAAGTGTGACAATGTCACTCACCTCTGTGCAGTTGTACAGAGGTGTCTTTTTTCATGATTCCCATCAAATGTCGATTTTACTTATAAGGTTCTCATGTTCATACCCCTAAAATATCCCTGGAATTTCTTTCCTTCAAAAGATGTTGACAGTGTTAACTACACCTCTGGATTTGTTGTTTCCCTGGGGTCACTGCTGTCATCCCCAGTGTCCGTCTCCTCTAAGTGGAGGAGCCACCTGAACACCAGGACACAAACATCCCTACTATCACCTTGCATGTATCTTTCCATGAAGTGCGGCTGACCCCAGCATTTCCCCACTCCATGAAGGGCTGATGGTTCTGTTTAGCACAAAGCTCATTTTCATGCTAGGGTTTGTAGATTCCAACCATTATTTTGTTTTCAGTGTATAAATTCTGCTAAACCAGCCAGCATACGGTGAGGGAAGGCTGAATATTACAGTATTCTTTTTAGAATGCAGATGGGCTATTCCACAGACTATGTGGGGAAAAGATACATTTCACTCCTGACTCGGACCTGGAAAAGGTGATTGTGGTGAGGAGATACTGCCCAGGGGTCAAGAAAGCAAACCCAGGCAGGTCCAGAAGACGCAACGTGAGGTCTCCAGGGAATATTATTCTTACAGTATCCTCCTGTGCCACTGGTGATACTTTTTTCCCCGGGATAGTATTGGATACCTAACTATTGACATATGTAGGGGGATCTGCTTAATGTTTCTTGCCCTGTCTGAATTGATCCATAGAAAATCATCCTG